AATGTCACACATCAGTGCCATTCTTAAGGTAATAAATTATTCATTTTCACTGTAAACAGTACAAATTCGTGGCTTTGCTAACAGTGTATGACTGCTGAGTAATAATATGGCTAATATTTACTGAGCACATGCTGTGCATTAGGAATATGCTGAGAATGTCACCTATATTGTTTTATCTAAACCTTAGAACAGTACTATGAGATAGGTGCTATTTTATCCCTATTTTACAGGTGGGAAAGCTGAGGCCAAGAGAGTAAGCAACTTGCAGAGATCCAAGGTGCTTGAATTGAACTGTTACAGGTACCTCTCACCGACACCAGAGAGGTGTTACCAGACAGCCCAGAGTCAGTGGGAGAGGGCTGTCCTCAACCTCGATCCTTGTCTTCTCATACAAATGAATTTATACGACAGAACTTAACTGCGTTGTGGAAAGCCAATTTATTAAAGCCATTAAAGCATGCACCTTTATTGAAAAAGCAAAGAAAGAAAGCAAACCTATACACCTGGCTTATGAAGCACAGACAAGATCTCAGCTAATCTGAAGAGCAGGTTGGGTGGGGGTCCAAGGTGTTCTATACCCTCCTGTCTGTAGGTCTCAAAATTCCTCTGCTGAATATTTGGTACAGATTAATTCTCAAGGTCCCTTTTTTCTTTGTTGTGGCCTTTCCAGAAAATCATGAGAAGTACCTGGCAACTTTACCTTGCCACGCCTTGAGACTGCTGGCTTCTCTGCTCAGGGAGTAAAACTGCCCTTTTTTCCTTTCCCCTTTCTCCCTTTCTGTATTCTCTCATTACGGAGGGTTTTTTTTTTTAACCATTTGTTCTAGGGTCCTTGGCTGGGGGATTTTGGCTTTGTTTTAACTTTCCTATCTCAGCTTTCCTATTCCTGTGCCCTGGCATCCTGTAACACAGTGGTTCTCAACCTTCCTATTGCCGTGACCCTTTAATACAGTTCCTCATGTTGTGTGGTGACCCCCAACCATAAAATTATTTTCATTGCTACTTCATAACTGTAATTTTGCTACTGTTATGAATTGTAATGTAAGTATCTGCTGTGCAGGATGTATTTTCATTGTTACAAATTGAACATAAAGCATAGTGATTAATCACAAAAACAATATGTAATTATATATGTGTTATCTGATGGTCTTAGGCAACCCATAGGTTGAGAACCGCTGCTGTAACAGAACCAGGATGAAAACATGTTCTCCAGGGTTCATGCACCTAACCACAGTAATCTACTTAGGAAAGGTGTTGGTTGCAGAGAAAGTGAAAAGGTGAGAGTGCAGGCAGCAAATGAGATAACTGAGGCTAAAGTGGAGATGACTGAGCACAGAGACACATTCTTGCCTAAGGCTACATTTCCAGGCCAGAAGCAGTGTTCGAGGAGATAGGAGTCTGAACTGTAAAAATCAGTATATATGGGGAGAGAAAGGGTTTTCTAAGGGAAGACTAGGACATGTTTGTTTGTGGGTTGACTCTGGTGAATTTGGAAATGACAAAAGTTTGTGAGCCTGAAGGAGAGAGATTGTGAGAAACACCATAACCCCAGGAGACTCTTGGTGAAAGAGAAGGCAGACTCCTCAGTGAGTAGATGGACATGTGAAACTGGGGAGGTTTGGGGCAGATATCCCTCTGCTGATTCCATTTTGGCGGACATTTCCTTCCTCTTGAGGCTAACAACCTGGGAGTTTAAGATATGACTGAGCATTCAACTCCTGGGCACTTGGTTACATTTATTTAGGTTTTATAGTCTGAAAGAGCTTCTTGGTCTATAGGAATTATCTACTCCTGGAGTACATTCTTTTCATGAGTTCTCATTTTCCACAGTTGAGGATTTAGTACATACAGTGTAGGTACCATGATCTACCTCAGAGAGATAGATTGCATTATTAATGCTGTGAAATAGGTCATCAGAGTTCATTCTTTCCAGTGTATATTGTACATACTTAATGCTGACCAAGAATATTTTTATACTCTCATAAGAGGTATTATATTTGCCATATTGCCACAAATTTTCCCCCCAGAGCATAATTTAATCATCAGCCTGATAGAACCATTACTTATTAAAAATATATATTTATTGATTTCAGAGAGGAAAGGAAAGGGAGAAAGAGATAGTAACATCAATGATGAGAGCAAATCTTGACTGGCTGCCTCCTGCACGCCCTCTACTGGGAATCAGCCTGCAACCCATGTATGTGCCCTTGACCGGATTCGAACCCAGGATCTTTCAGTCCGCAGGCCAATGTCTATCCACTGAGTCAAACCAGCTAGGGCCCAGTGTGTTCTTTATTTCTCTATCAGCCATTATTCTGTCTCATTATCTTTTCCAATTTTCTCAGTCCTGAAAAAATGATCTTGTTCTATGTGAAATTTATGCAAATGCCTAATTGAGTTTGTGTAAAAACATCAAAGGATTTTTTAAATTTCTCTTTTCTTTTGAATGAATGATCTGCTTTATAGAGCTGAGGATCAAAACTATAGAGAAAAGCTAGAAACAAAGATTATGAAAATTTAAAACATATAGGAGCTCATCCAGGAAACTGGTTACCAAATCTTTAGCAAATTTCATAAGGATTTTTTAAAGGAAATATTTTCTAAACACACATGTAAAATTATGGAGGTCTTACTTTAAATTACTTAAGTTGTCATTGAAAACAAAGAACTTTTTTTTAATGTATTTTTTATTGTTTTTTTACAGAGAGGAAGGGAGAAGGATAGAGAACTAGAAACATCGATCAGCTGCCTCCTGCATGCCCCCTACTGGGGGTGTGCCTGCAACCAAGGTACATGCCCCTGACCGGAATCGAACCTGGGACCCTTCAGTCCACAGGCCGACGCTCTATCCACTGAGCCAAACCAGTCAGGGCAAAGAACTTTTTTTAAAAGGACCTTCATATAATGTGGGGCTGTGTTTACTGAAGAGTGCTATGTTATCTCTGCCATTTCTGCTTTGCCTTTTCTCTGATGGAAAGGAAATGGTTTGGGCACTCCTTCTACATCCAGGAGGTACCTTTGGCCTCTTTGCTGTATGAATCCAATTTGGAGCTGTGTATACTATATGAAACCATCCTATCTAATAATAGACAAACATGGTAATTAACCATACCTCCACTATGCTTCCCATTGGTTAATCAGCAGGATATACAAATTAACTGCCAACAAAGATGGCGGGCGGCAGCCACGCAGCTGAAGCGAACATGAGGTTTGCTTGCTCCAGTGATGGAGGAAGCCAAGGTTCCCCGCCTGCCGTGGCCTGCTATAAGCTCCGAAAGCAACAGCTCCGGAAGCAACAAAGTTTCAATTATAGAAACTAAATAAACCCCAGATACCTGCTTTCAGCCAGCCGTGGCCTCAGAGCTGGAGTGAGCAGGAGGGCAACAAAGTTTCAATTATAGAAGCTAACTAAATCCCAGAATAAAAACG